TGTAGGGGGGTATTGGGGGCTGTATGGGGGTATTGGGGGGCGCTATGGGGGTGTTGGTGGTGTTATTAGGGGTTCTGGAACCCCTTTGCAGGGTGCCGACGGCCCCCAACCGGTAGCTGCCGACCAGTCAAGGGCCGCCGACCGTCTGAGGGTGCAACCCTGCTCACTTGTCCTTTTCCGGCATGCTCTTGTCCTGTCGAATCCACAGGACGCCGAATGTGCAGAGTTCAGAATTGATTGCACAGGCTCTTTCTTCTTGTTAGAGCCTTTCTTAATTAACTTCAGGTAACCTAATGGTCGCCCACATACTTGCTCCATTGGCATAATCATCTGATCCTCTCAATTCCTGCCTCTCTTATTTGACCTCCTCCCCCTCTCTTATTTGACCTCCACTTCGGTTACTTCGGCCTCTTCTGCTCACACCTAAGCATGCTGACGGTCCAACCTGGTTGGTGAAGGGAGCTGGGTAGAGGGGGGTTACTAACACCACTTCTACCACACTGCACATGGGACCACTCTTCTTTCCCCAGACCTCCACACCTGCAACTCACTACAATACCACACCCATTCCAATGGCGGCAACATTCTGCAAGTACATCGATCTTGATGTCACACATAACCCAAGCCTGTAAGTGAGAAACAAAAAGTCAACAAGGGGTGTCGACCACTCAGTATGACACGTGGGAGAAGAGTAGAGATCTCAACTTACATGATCATACTCCCATCGAGCTGTCAAGGGAAGTGACATCAGAATACTCTCGATTCGGCCACCAGTTTTCAATCCAAAGGTCGTTCCACGATCATAAACCTATTTGTGACACCACACACACACACACACGCACACACACACACACACACACACACACAACACAGAATGTGCCAAGAGTGAGCAAACAGGGTCAAGGGAGCGCATAGCAGCGTAATGACAGATTTTCAAACTGGGCCATTGGACTTTGAGACCATTGACCATTAGGGATTCCACGACATTTCTCTGTCTGCGATCGTGAGAGAGAGAGAGAGAGAGAGAGAGAGAGAGAGAGAGAGAGAGAGAGAGAGAGAGAGAGAGAGAGAGAGAGAGAGAGAGAGAGAGAGAGAGAGAGTTCTCTGAGAATTGCTTTCCAGTAACTGCTAGACCTAATGAATGGATAATTGCATCACCATTTCCATTTCTATCTCAAGGCACTTCGCTTTCTGTTGCCTGTCCGAGTCAGTTGAGAGCAAAGTCTATTCCATCGGCGTGCAGACTCCCTCTCTCTCTCTCTCTCTCTCTCTCTCTCTCTCTCTCTCTCTCTCT